TCGCGAACTTGAATTACCTCAACTTATTCATGAATATTTGATTCTCTATTCTCTTGCATTGATCATCATTCGATTTCTCAATGAAACAATGTTTATAACTGGAAAAGAAACAATAATCTTTGGAACTATTGAGAAGAGAAAAAATTGTATGCAATAAATTTTCAATTTCCTCCAGGAAATTACAGGTTATTTAACTATTTTTACTGTTATTTTGTTTAGTTCATGTTTTCTTTTCTCTTTTTCACTCCTTCATGACAATATTATTGATTATTCTTTTATTCTTAAACTTTTCATTCTTTCTTTTCTTTCATTGTTTTCCCTTTCCATTTTCTGCCATCATCAGTATTCTTTCAGTTCTAAACATGATTCACTGTTATAAGTAAATATATTAGCAAAACAATGGTGAGAATAAGATGAAGGCAAGAGAAAGGGGCAAAAGTGAAACAACTACTTTTCATGCTGAACTCGAACTTTTGATTCTGACGAATATCAATTTTGACTTGCAGCTTTTGTTCATCTTTGTTGAGTTTAAATTTTCAGACTCATTTTCATCATTTCCATCATCAACTTCATTTTTCTTTTTCACACAGAGATGAGATTTGCTTTTATATTCTGTTGCTTTTTTACTGCCTTCTTCTTCATTCCTCGTAAAGAGTTAATTTTATTGGCGTGAGTTTTTAAAGTAAATCGTGGTTCGAATGACGAACTTTCTTCTGCCATTGTTTCACTCTAAAATGAGAACAAAGTATTTTATTGTTTTCAATGTTGATGGTTAAAAATTGACGCAAATTGAGTCAACATCTAATCAACATTGAGTTCGACAAATGAATGTCACCCATTGAAAGGTTAACTCATGTTCACCATTCCATCTTCATGTTTCATTTTTACCTGTTTATGCAGCTTAACTCGTTATGATTGCAACTGCAGCACTTTCTGAACATTTACATTGAACATAACTCAGTGTCAGAAACACGAAAAGAGACACAATGAGAAAAGAAGAACGAACACAAGAAAGACAAAACAACTTTCGTTTCGCTTTAAAACCCATTCTCAAATAGTTCGACTTGATTATTGCTCCAACCAAATAATGCAACATTGCAATGTTTCTGACTCGAAAAGAAGACAAGACGGAAATGAGTTCGTTAAAAGAAATGTTACCTTATAACTAATCTTCAAATGCATTTTAAATCGACTTTAACTTTCAGTGCAGATCTAGAATGAAAAGAGATTCAGTTCGATTGTAACGACACAAAAAGAGTGTAATGCAAAAGCTCTCCGCTATTCTCTTCTCTTCTGTTTTAACTATTCGACTTGATTATCGTTCTAATCAGTTGCTTGCAATGATCCTTTTTGCTGGACAAAAAAGCCCTTTCCTTCGCTGTTTCTTTGTTCAATCCTTGTTTAAAAAAAGGATTCTCAAGTTGAATTTAAAGTCAACTGCGACTTTCATTTTACATTAGCAAATGAATGAAATCGATCCGAATTGAAACGACACAAAAGAGTTTTAGAAAAGTTGAAAAATAAAAATGAATTATGTTCCATTGTCTTTGCATGAATTTGTTTAACGATAATATTGAATAAACTGGAAAGCTAAACTTGGCACTGATCAGAGTTGCAATTTGATACAATCATGAATAACATTAAACGTTAACCAGTTATGATTCAAAAGGTTTTGTTTTTTTCAATCATGTATTCATTTCCATGTTAAAGTGAATGGCAAAGTTTCATGGGAATAATTTTGAGAAACTTTTTCATTTCCATTTTCTTTACACTTAAATCTGTTCTTTTGTTTATTTCATCGCCATTACAAAAACAGATGAGCTGAAGATATATTCACCATCAATAAACTGTAGTTGACATTGAATAAATTATTGTGAACAGACGAACAGAGGAAAAGTGATAAACAAATTGAGGTAACATTAGTTTCAGTCTCGACAGTTTAACCAATTGTTATCAATGTTTTTGCCTGTTAAAGATCTTGCAGAATTACAATGAACCCAAATTTCAAT